TTTTTTTTTTTTTTTTTTTTTTTTTTTTTTTTTTTTTTTTTTTTTTTGTCCATGCAATTGTCAGCGCCCTACGTGTAATATCGGTAACGTTATATTCACTTTAACTAGATTATAGTATTTTTTAAATTTTTCAAAAAAGAAAGCAAATCAGCAGGCTCTTTTGCCAAGCATCGGACTTGTTAAAATTTTGTTTTTTACAGACGGACACCCTGTTTCATTCAGGTATGACGATATCACGAAGAGTTGTGTACTAACGTATTATCAAAATTTTAATTGACATATCACCCATTAATCGCGAACTCAATATATTGCCTACATGCCTATATTACACTGCATGATGAGTCATCTGTGGCCATTTCGCTGTTTTCACCTGAAGAATTGACGTCATTTTGGCGCATGAGCAGTAGCGTTGCTTACCTTCAGTGAAGAGAGTAATCGAGAAGCAGCCAGTTAAACTTCCGTGACAGCTTTCCATGTCACGAAAATAATATAGACAGGAAGTCCCCAGAACTAGAGTACTTAGGCCAGTTGACCACGTAACTATATATAGAAGAAAACGATCCGATGAGAGAAAAGCTGTAAGTCTAGAGGTAAGTCCTGGTTGTAGTTCAAAATGGAGGGTGCCATTTTCATGATTTAGAACTCCGAGACTTATAAGATGAAAGTGAAGTAGACTGCGTCTTAGTAACTGAATTTACATTCGCATTAGATGTTTTTAGTTCTGGCAGAAAAGTTATGAGCGGATAATTAGTGTACTTTGTGGTATTTCTGATCTCCGGAGTCGGGCGTCTTTGTTCGTTTTTGTCGTCTGATATGTATAAAGTATTCACTGTGTCTACTTACTGAATTGGTGAGTGATCGCTGTCTATTGTTAAGCTCTTTGATAGAATTGTAGATGGATCGTCAATCTAGACACGTCCGGTACGGAGTGCAGAATATTAGACAATGATCTGTGACCGTTGTGATGTCACAATAGTGACGATCTCCTGCAGGGGGCGTGCTGTCCCCACCTGGCCTAGCTCACTCACCTGAGGTGGCCTATCTTGGCACATGAAGAGCAGACCAGGTGGAGGAAGGAAAAAACTCCGATCACAACATGTAATTGTATGTAAAAAACTAGTGTGGACATGCTATTTGTTTTCTTTAAAAATCCGGTGTTAAGACGTCTTGTCTCTAATTTTTAAATTGCTCACGCCTAACTAGATTTTATGTAATCTAAACTGCGGAAAATCTTAGCCTAACAGAATCTTATACTGTCAAAATACTGTTAACAGATCTTTATACTGTCAAAATTAAATGCATCACTAAATGATTTTCTCTGTTTTCTATGAAGCTGATTGCTGTGTACAGCAGCATTTAGCTACTGTTTATGATACTCAGGGTGTGGTCAAATGGACATAACGCCTAGAACAATACCTGTCTTCAAGATGGTACATTATCTCTTAGTGTATTCAGTTCTTGTCAAACAATAACTGGAGATTGGTGACAAAGGTGACGGTACAGGTGTGAACATGTCACACCTTTCATTAATATTCTGCAACAGTTGGTGATCCACAGTTGTTAATGGGGTGATGTTAGTGTGCTTCCCATGTTCTCTGTGTTGGCAATGTTTATGACATTGTTTTGTGTATAGTACTGTATATGTATCAACATATAGCTGGCAAAAAAGACAGAACCCAGTCAAGTATGAAAGTATTCTTGCAGAGCTTTGAATAGAATCAAATGAAATATGATTATGATGGATGATAAGGTTTAAATTTGTAAAGTGCACGGTATCTCGCAGTAACATGTCAGACTTCGGTCAGAATTCTCATCTGAGAACTAAGGTAAATTCATCTATTTAGGTAGATAAACAATAACAGTAATAAACATAGCCAACCTCAGTGTCTTCTTTTTGTCCATTTTTAAAGGCAGTGAACAAGGAATGCATGTGTTCATAGACTTGAACCTAAAGACTTTTTTATGACAATTTTGAAATAATTTGGCAGTCCACAAATCACCAATTAATGGCAAAGTTTCACATTCTTTTCTCCCATTCACTTGAACAAACAACCTGTATGTCCTCTGGTATAAAGTTTTGTCCCATGGATTTAGAGGTTAGGAGGTGGGTTACCACATACTCATAACAAATATCTCTATACTTGCTAATGTCGCATGGGCAGAGGAAAAATTTAGATACATTTTCATTGTATTCTTACTAGTATTTGGCTCAAGAAATATATCAAATATTAACTAAGTTTTTGCCAATTTTCTCCTTAATCTGGTTTTAAAAAAAACCCTGATCTTTGTAACCTAATTCAGCCTTTTAGCTATAAGTCAAATGAAAATCATATCCAAGAGAGCTCCCAGACATGATGTTGTAACCTTTGCCATGTTCTTCTGTTGCCAAACAGGTTAGTCTGACTTGCCCATTACCTTGACAAGATCACTACTATAGTACAGTGCCCCCAGGGTCTTGTTAATAACCATGTTGAACTGGCTTGATCATTATACACCAACTAGAGGCAATGACAAGTAATGGGAAGGCATCGTTGTGGCTACAGTAAAAATGAAAATGTCATAAGCAGGGTAAAACTTAACAACAATAGTGCCTTCAACCAATGACAAAAGTTGAAATTTGTTTTTGTCCAGTATTTTCCTAGAGAATGTGATGTGACATGAAGATATTGGTAAATGATTTAAGCTGCTAGTTGAAGAAACTATCCTAGTAACCCATATAAATTATATTAATTATAAGATGGCTTCATTTACAGTCAGAAAGTCCTTGAGAGGTACTTGAATTAGAGCCTCTAAAGTCCTTGAACTGCTGAAGTTGAATTCCTAATGTTGCCGAATGAAGTTTATTTAAATTCATAGCTGCCTCATGTGACTGCAACATATTGTGCAACAGATGTTGAAGACATTAATATAACTAATTCAACGTAATTCAGAGGAAAATGATGAAAATGAAATACAAATTTCTTTATTTACTAGTATTCACTTGTAACTAAACAACTGAGATGAGCAAATATGTTACTAGATGTGTGAGATTGGACTAAAATACATAAAAAATGACCTAGTCGTGGTCTTCTGCTGTGTCAGCATGACATGGTGAAAAACTTGAGATTAAGGCCATGAGGTGCACTTCGAACAGGATTCAAGTTACACTGAATAATTCCTTATGCCTCGGTGCAGGAGTTTTATCAGTTGCACTTTTAGTGACCTGCTCACTGTCTGATTTCACATGTAAATGAAACCCACCATCGTGCATAAGTATTTGTTTTTTTAGCCCTAAATCACAAACACTGATTGTAAACGGAATGTTTTGGGGTTAAACCAACAAGAGACTGCTCCGATGACTTTTTGTCAGTCAACTGGCAAACCTGACATATGTAATGAGTATGTAAACATTTTTGAAGCATAGAAAATTATCTTTTTACCTGTGTACAAGTTACTTGATTTTATAAATTTATTGTTCAGCTTGGCCTGTAATGTAGTAAATTGTTGTCAAGAAAGGCAATTCTTTATTGTCAATTCACAAGTCACAATATAATCAGTTTGACTTCCTTATGCCAGTCAGTTCTCTCTGCAGGTTGTATGACAGGCTTAGAACAGATCTGTGACAGGCTTAAGACAGCTAAGTATTTTTTAGGGCAGTTTTCCTTGTCAGCAACTTTTCTGTATTCAAATAATAGAAAATCTTTTCATAATCATCATCAGAAAAAAAAGTGACCCATGTTCTAACAGTTCATAACGCCCAGATATTTGTACAGCTGTCATCCGTGATTCCTATAAATACATCTCTTCTGACTAATTTCCTGATTTATGGATATATGATTTAGGTAGAAGATTATCATATCTTTGTTTGGTGTGCATACTGGGAACCGCCCTGTCTTGATGTAGGTGCTGCCACTGGTGGCCTTTATTCCCTTGGGCAAATTGTGAATAAATCAATGTTTAATTTCCTGGTTGCCTTTTCCTGACAAATTGTCTGATATGTGAGGAAATGGCATGTAAATGAGGTTAAATTCTGATGTCATTGCTGATGAAAAAAAAAAGTATTGAAACTTAAATAGACCAATTTTGTATGGTAATGGCCATGTAAAGTTATTAATGAAATCTAACTGTTCAGATTTGACTCAGTTGTCATACTGGGACACAAAAACTTGAAGGTTCAGTTACAAATCGTCTTCAGAAAAAGCCCCCCCCCCCCCCACACACACACACACACACAAACACACACACACAAACACACACACACACACACACACATCCAGGCCGCCCTTTAAACTTGTAGGCTACAGGTCAGGGATCACAGCAGTGCAGTAACCAGGCACTTTGCTGCTCAATACTCCACCCAGTTAATATAAAAGATTTCAGATTGTAAGGCATATCTTCACAATAATTCACCCAGGTATGTAAAAGGTTTCAGATTGAAAGGTATGTATTCACAATCTAGGGGATTTATTATGTAGAAGCTAAGATGACATTTTAGGGCTTAGTCTAGTTAATACTTTAAATGTCCAGGTTATATACCACAACACATTCCTTCCTTAATTTGGGGTATTATTATGGAAAATAATAATTTTAACACAGATGATATCCTTTCTTACCTCTCTTTGACAGAGAATTGAAATATTAGGATTTATTATCTTTTAAAAAGGTGAATTTTAATCCAGGCGTCTTCATTTTAAGACACATCTTTACCCTAATTGTAAGCTTCTGCATGTTAACTAACAGCAATTTGTTCAGGCAGCCAGGCTTTTATTTGAATAAATGACTCAGTGGACATCCAGGTTATGGGAAAATTGATACCAGTAGATGTTTTTCATATCTTTTCATTTGTTTATATAGATATTTGAATTTATTTCTCTGTACATAAAAAAATCTTCAGATATTGAATTAAAATACTTTACGTATGGCAAAAACAAAACCTGATATACGTATGGCAAAAACAAAACCTGATAGAAATAAATATTTTAGGTTTTTAAAAGTTATGGATTGTGTGACAGTCATATTTTTATTTTATTTTATTTTTTAAAGTAAAAGCTCATAAGTGGAAAGTTAGGGTTGAAGGAATCAGGCAAAAAAAATGTTAACTCTGAATGAAGATTTCATATAGATTCTATGTCATTTTTCATATTGATTTGACTAGAAGGGTAAAGAGCTCCACTTTTGCACAAAAAAAAAAAACAGAGAACCCTTTAAAATAATCCCAGCTACATGCTTTGAAAACAACTGAAATATTGAAGATAATGCATTTTTATCCTCTCAGAAAACGCCAACCACCATGTTGAGTTGTATCGTAATTGCTGCCGTGATTGGCGTGGCTATGTCTGCGCAGGAGCCCCCAAACTGTGCGTGGAAGCCGAGGGCCACAGTGAACGGCATGTCATGCTGTCTACGGGACTCTATCCCAGGGTGCAGGTGTATGAATCCACCTGAGGAAATCCCGGCCGACTCTGGCGCCCCTCTCTGTGGCCGTTCAGGTAAGTCTGGGTGGTCAGATAAGGGTGCCTTCTCATCATCTGTGGTACTAACTCGTGTGGACAAACTCCATGGGGGACTCTTGCTGAATGCTATCGGATGAACAGATTAACATGCCTCTTGGCATGGAGAAGAGTACAGAGTAGTTAGTGATTATGGGAGTACTTTGGAAACAAAAGGGTTTGTGTTTAATCGATTCAGTTCAGCAAGAGTCCCTGTTGAGTTAGTGTGCACCAACTAATTTCGATAGATTCATGGTGTATGGACCCTGTAGCACGTTGTGTTAAACTTAAGCATGTGGGACCTGACCAGTCCAAGGGCTGAATTGTACCTAGAGAGAAATCAATATATGTAAGAAAAGCAAAATAAAAGCAATCTGGTGCTGTTTGTGTATGTGTAAAGTAGTACTTGTTATAATTCCTAGAGATGAAAGACATCTGGATATACGGACTTTGGATGTAAACCCCCTGGATCCACATATAGAGCAGCATGGCTTTGGGGATTGCATTTTTAACCATTGTTCCTCTTTAATCTGTGAATGTCATTCTTTCAGGTGGCGGCTGTCCTGCCCTGCATCCACTGATGGCTGTCGGGATATGTGCAGAAATGTGTTCTGATCACGCTGATTGTTCCAGTGGACAGCTGTGCTGCAGCAATGGCTGTGGCCACGTGTGTAAAGACCCAGAGCGTAAGTGACTCCTTCATCAGCCTCCAGTTTTGTGATTATTTGGTTTAACTGAATAGTTTAAGCCCAGTTTAAGATGGTTTAAAATTTTAGACCAAAGTTGTTTGATTACTTTCACCTTAGGTGGAGTAACAAAAGACCACTTACAAAAATGCTGCACCTGGTTTGTGAAAATGCTGATCATTACTTTATTTAAGTGGACCACCACATGTAAAACGAGAGGGAATATTTAGTTTTAAGATAAAGACCAATTTTTGTTTTAAAAAATTGCATTTCTGTTTTAAAACAAAATATTTAGTTCTTTGTTGATTTTGTTTTAAAATAGAGACCAATTTATTTGTAAAATTTTTTTTTGGCAACAAGACTCAACCAGCTGCTATTGAAGGTTAAGGGGCCCGCACACGGTGAGCATTTGGCGCGCGCCACTTGCGCTGCGCCGTTTTCTCATCGTGTGCGGGGGGTATTTTGGTGAGATTTTTGCCTCTCGCGCAGCTCAGCAAAATTTCTCACGTGTTTGATTTTTTTGGTTTCTTGAGGCAAATGTCTCAGCGTGTGCGGGGTGCAAGCGCCGATTGCTCACGCCATGCTAACAATGCGCATGTGCCAGTAGCCGGAAACAAACAAAAATGGCAGCCCCCACAAAAATGTACACAGTTATAGTAAGTCTGATTGATTAACGTGGTCACCATTATCCATTACTATCAGAAAAAACAACAATATGTAATGTTTCCTTAATCACATGATCCCACAGTTCGCGGTGCGTTCGATAGGGGCAGGCCGGGAGGCATCTCTGCTGAGCAAAGAGCGCATCGTTTGCGGGGAGCTGAGGAGCGCGAGCATCTGGCGCAGCGCAAGTGGTGCGCGCCGAATGCTCACCGTGTGCGGGCCCCTTTATGTATGTGATGTCAGTTTATGCTTCACACTGGCAATATATCACATTGTATCTGGTAGTATCACATTGTATCTATTTGTATCACATTGTATCTATTAGTATCATATTGTATGTATATGTATCAAAAAGTAACACATTGTATGTGTACTTCATAGTCATTAATTTTGGTCCTCCCATTACAGCCATAGTGACAGTTGACAACTATGACTGCCCTGACATCCGCTGTCAGCAAGATCTGGGCTGCGACGGAAGCAGCCTGAAGAGAGACAGCAATGGCTGTCCAATGTGCGAGTGTCAGAGTGAGGAAACGACCACTGTCGCCAGTGTGGACAAAAGTAATTATGCCTTGTCCAAATTCTTTTTGATTTAACGATTTGATATGTGCCACTTAACCGGTTTATCCTCTGTCAGAGTAGAATAAAGAATATTTTAAAAATTTGTGGCATTTTCAGTGCCAGGTAATTGTTGAAATTTTCAGCTTTAATTTTCATTTTATCAGAGCTTTTATTTTTTTCTACAAATGCCTTAAGCATTCTGGTAGTTCATAAACTTTTAACTCTAACCTTTTGGCTTTATCAAGATAAAATTTTGATACCACTCTGTTAGGACTCAATTTCAATATAAACAACATATTGTTGCTTTGTCACAGCTTGTGTTGGAGGCATGGTGTGGAAAGAGTGTGGATCTCCCTGCACACGGACATGCTCTGAACCCAGCCCGATGTGCATAGAGATGTGTGCGCCGAAATGCGAGTGTCCCAACGGTCAGGTGTGGCACGAGAAGAAAGAACAGTGTGTGGACATGGCAGAGTGCAGTACATCAGGTATGCCATGGAATGCCCATTAAGGCTTCTCTTTTATTGGTGTTGGTCTTTTTTGTTTCAAAGATGTGGAAACTTGGCTCTCTGAAATGTTATGCAGAAATAAGAGTTATTTTATTTATTTATTTTTTTACTTTAAGTTACTTTTATGTGTTAGAATCTTTTTTTCCATACTCTTGGCAGTATGAGCTTTATATATGCTTGAGTCTGCATTTATGCACTTAAATGCTTTAGATGTTGATATTGCTTTGAAGTACAATTCTTTATTTAATAAGTGTTGTGTAATGTGGTGTTGAAGTTTATGTTAACATGTTGTACCTTTCATACCATCTCATCACTTATGTTTTTATTCTTCCTTCTGTCTTCATATATGCTTCCTTTATTTTAATTCGCACCTGTTCGTGCTCTTTAACTTTAGTGTGTACTGGGGGTCAAGAGTGGTTCGAGTGTGGAATGAGTTGCACCGCGACGTGCGATGAACCAAATCCCATTTGTAACAGGATGTGTGCTGCGCGATGCCAGTGCCCAAGCAGCAAACCTATTTTCCACGATGGCGTGTGTAAGGAGCTGAAGGACTGCCCAGGTGTGCATTTAGGTGTGGAAATGACGACACTTGATGCTGTTGTGATTTCTACTACTATCACCACCACTAATACTTTTACTACTACTACTACTACTACTACCACCACTACTACTACTACCACCACTACTACTACTACCACCACTACTACTTCTGCCACGACAACTACTTCTGTTGCTACCACTTCTCCACTACTACCACCACTACTACTACTACTTCTGCCACCACCACCACCACTTCTACTTTTACCTATACCACCAACACTGCCCCAACTACTACTACTCTTCTGCTACTACTTCTACCACCAATACCACTACCACCTCTATTACTACAACTACCACTAACACTACTGCCAATACCACTACCACCACTATTACTACAACTACCACTAACACTACTGCCATCATAAGTTCAGTCATTCATACATTGTGAGCTTTTCAGTCACCTTAAATGTCATTGCAATGTTGTACAAGTCATTCTCTAAACTTCTGGATGTAACATATAACTCAGTGTTGACATTTATGGTAATATTAGATGTAAGATGGTGCTGAGATGTGCAGATACAGACATGTTATCCAGTGCTGAACCTATAGTTATAACTCAGTGCTGACACCTATAGTTCCAGTGATATAACTCTGTGCTGCCCTCTATAGTTCCAGAGCCTGAACCCACTGACCACTGTTCTGAGGGCTGCCCCAAAGGCCAGACATGTCAACAACAACAGGTGCAGTGTATCAGAGCCCCTTGTCCTATGATGTGGACCTGTCTACCTGAGCCTGAGATGCGTACGTTTTTTTTTTCACCTTAGATAACATCAGTAAAATGCATGGACCAAGGTTTATTCAATGAGAGTTGAACATTTATAAATTAAAGTCTGGACTTATGTTATTCTTACAAAGTTGATGATTTGTTCTTTTAAGTATGGACCAATGTAAATTCAAACAAAGTTCCTAATTTATTATAAGAATAATTCATCACCAGATTGCATGAAGCTGCTGTTACAATATGAGTGTGGAAGAGTTTCAAATGATATCATTCTCCACATTTATTGCAGCATGTGCCATGCCAATGTGTGCAACTCGCTGCGAGTATGGGTACGCACTGGATGCACGCGGGTGCATGACATGTGACTGTCGCAGCACACCCCAAAGCAACTGCCCGGTTGAGCTCTGCGCAGACAGCTGCGGGTACACCACTGACGAGTACGGCTGTAAGAAATGCACGCCCTGCACCGAGTGCCCAATGCTCAAGTGCGTGCCGTGCAAGTATGGTTACGAGATGGATGAAAACGGCTGCCAGACATGTGATTGTCTTCAGACTCCCCGCCGCCATATGTGCCCCATGGTGATGTGTGCCAATCACTGCCCATTCGGTCGGCGTGAGATGGATACCTTGAAGCACTGTACTGGCTGTGAGTGTGCAGGCCTTGACATGTACGGGCTGATTGGAGTGACCCTGGGTGGAGCCGTTCTCATAGCCATTTTAGTGATTGTGACGGTAGGTATTTGGCAAAAATTGTTGAGTTTCATATATTTTTTTTCCTTTTTTTCCCTCTTTCTGAAGTAGTTTTATGTAACTGAGAAGTCAGAACTAAACTTGACCTTTTCTTTCCAATAGAATTCAGATCAGATACCATGTCATTTGAAACACGAAGTCCAAGATATTTACAGATAATTTCCATTTATATTTTCTAAGCACACACAGGTATACTTATTTGAATATGATTTACATCAAATTATTGAATCAGATTTGATTTAACTGATGTTTTGGCAGTCTTGGATATATGCAACAGTTTATGCGATGCATCATTGCTTGAATGTTCCAATTTTGCCCACCAGGTGTGCTGCTGTAGAACAGCCAAGAAGAGACAAGGCAAGTACAACATGATTGTTGCAGCCATGACCAAGCAGCCTGCCTATGAGAAGATGCGGGAGAACAGCGTCTCTTTCAAGGCATCTGTTCCCAAGGATGGAAGTGAGGCTGACATCACCGTCAAAAAACCAGTCAGTGTCTAACATATCAGACAGTTATCAGTGCAGCATGTCAGTGCTTATGCCATCAATTTAAGAAAATGAAGATAAAACATTTTCAACGGTCAAAAATGGCAGAGAGCAGGGTAGTGTAAATATAATTGAACTGTAAATAACCAAAGCATTACAAACATAAAAAGATTTATTCAGCTCCCGTCAAAAAAGCTCAGTTGGTCCTCGGTTCAGTTGAAAACAAATTGATCACATGAAAATGCTCATTCAATCTTTGCCACAATTGTGGCAGTCTTTACTACAATTGTGGGAACAGTGTTCACTTTTACCTGCTGAGGGCAGTTCTTTAAAATGATAACTTTGATTAATTTTGGAAATGGGAGTCATGCTGACAAACTCTGTCATGTTCCACCATATTTGACAAATGGTAGTCTTTAAGATAATTTTTTGAAGTTACCATAAGAACATGCTTTTTTCTTTCTCAATAATTATGGACTTGAATCCCAAAGGATCTAATGCTTATTAATACCTTGGAGTGCATGTTCAAGTTTGGTACTTAAACATGTTGTAAAATGAAAAGCAATACACCAAAGGTTTACACATAACTGAAAGACCAGTTAGTGTTTTAAATAGCTTTTCTCTTCTGCATTGCTATGGTACAGTAAATACTGCCATAAAATGTATTTGTAAACTAATAATGCTTTATGCAAGATTATATATTCAAGATATTCATACTTTTATAGCACAAACTGCTTTTATAACATAATGAAGATCGTTTCTGCAATGATATACATTCAGGATATTCATTCTTGTATATGTTATGTACTTCACTTTCGTTGTGTGTAAAAGATCATGCATTGTATTATTATTAATATGGCTAACTTTTCGCGTGTAGCATTCCAGGGTGAAGGTATTTTTGTACTAGGGTAATGCAATTATATTTGTTAAAATAATGCAAAGTGCACCAAAGACTTTCTTTGAGGAGTCAAAATATTGCTTTTCTAAGTAATCTAAAGTTTTTTACTACATTATTATGGTTATCTTTATATTTATTTATTTATTATTATATTTCAGTTCCATTTTTTTTTTCTTTGTTCCTTAACCCCTTCTTTATTTAAAAACATATTGATTTCATCTCCTATTTATTGGGAACCACCACTTGTTGAGATGAAAAGTTCGACCAAGAAGAAATTGTGTCTAATATCCTGATACAGTCTTAATTTTCATGGAAGTCAAGGGCAAGAGGTCATGGTACAAAAGTCAAGGTTGGATCGACAGGGCCACAACTTATGTAGTGTGTTTAGTAGTAAGTTCAGTGTAACTTTCACACTGGACTTTTGCTGTGCTAAATGAGAGAAAATCTGCGAAGTTTTCATCTAAAAAGGTTGACAGAGCCCGGTGCTAAAGATAAGGAAGTATAACTGTGATATTTATTTGTTAGAAAGTGGTTCTAGGAGGGGCTGTGGCAAAATGGTTGTTTGTATTAACATATTTACTGGAATCTCATCTACAGAATTCCTTATCTGTGTATTACATGTCCTGTATGGGGTTAAAGGGTTAAGGTGATTTCAGATATTATGTGTATTTCTTTTTCTCAGTCTCTCTAATATGTGAAGAAATAAAATTAATACGACTGAGTCACTTGCCTAGTAACAAATGTACATTTTAATACTTTATTTGTTGTAAACATAATCCGCATATGCTGTAAACACTGCTTAAAATGAAATAAAATTGGATTTTTTCCAGACTTGTTTCGTTTGAAGTTGATTAAAATCTAAAACGGATTACGTTTCACATCGGTCGGTATACTTTAGCGATACAGTCCTTAGCGTTATGTATTCGTTACAAGGGGATTTATTTCTCTTGAGAGATTCTCAAAAAATGTGCTCGGATTTTCATTGCAAGATTGATGCCAATGTTAATTAACCTACCGCAATCTTGTCCAAGAAAATCTACGAAATAAATGAAAATTGTCTGTCGCCGTTAGAACGGTGAACCGCAGCACAAATAATAGAAAAAATAGGATTACACCGCAAAGATGACTTTTATTTTTCAAACCCGTTGAAAATCTGCTCTCGTTAACCCATGCATGCCCTTTCTTAATTATAATGTGAACACATTGCACATCGCACTGCTATATTGTCTGTTTATTAATTACACCTGAAACACTTAATGAGTGTTCCTCAAGCCTTAATATTTACATCAAGAATTTTGACTTGAAAATAATAATTGATAATAAAATAAAATTAAATAGATATTTAAATATCTGACTTTTGGCTTGTCTTCCAATTCTTCGTTATCCCAATAAAACAGAGAGACGATAGCAGCGACAGTCCGACGGCTCCAAGAGCGATGTAAATTTTGGCCTCCATGCAGGTGAAGTTGGAGTAGGCATACACCACGCCAAACGCCACGTACATGAAGCTCCTCATGGTAACAAAGACGGGCCACTTTTGATCCGGGAACTCGTGGCCCAGGTACGCTGAAGCAAATGAAAAAGAAGCCAAAATTTTATGACTTTACGTTTTAATTGCCTTGCATTGTTTCTACTTCCAAACATTTCAAACTATATGTGTATAGGTTGTTGATATCTTTTTGTCTCATATCTCATAGCAAATAATTGCCACTGCAATATAACAAATCTATATCCGCCCCGATTAATAATAAAAAAAAAACTCTGCCCGCGGGTTACACTAAACGAGATATTAAATCAAAAATATATACCCCGATGTATTAAAGTCTCTTACCAGAAGCGGTTGCCATCCACATGGAGTCTCCCAGTGCAGAGACCACAGGTATCAGAAAGTAGAACTCCAGTGAATCAAAACCTGACGACTGATATAACAGCATGCTAGCCATACATGCAGAGTTACAGCAGGCGGCGAGTATAAACATGGTGACCCAGCCCACGTGCTTCACGAGGCGAGAAGTCAAGGCCGAGCCAACCACCAGGCCTCCGCTGTAGAGCATGGCCGACCAACCGTTATATTCTATACCAATTTCACAGCTTGTAAACGCCTGTAATTTTTAAAAAGAAAATCCGCTTAATCTTAGAGGACATGTAAGTTTATATGAGTATTCGACTTCTGGTGAGAACTACAGTGATGACCTTGTTTGCCTTTCTTACTTCCACTCCTTTTTTTTTTCTCTACAAAAAGAACAATGTCCAGTGATATAGTGAGAGAACAGTGCATTGTGCTATTATAATGTAAATGTTTTTTCATTTAATTTTTAATCTTTTCAATATATATATATATATATATATATATATATATATATATATATATATATATATATATATGTGGGCTTTGCTAAGCCTTACCAAAATCAAAAGCTACCTACTGTTATAAACTCTGTAAGGACGAGGGTCTGCCCGATTCCAACGACCATAAATGCTGGCAGAATAAGACCCATCTTCTTTCTAAAGACCAGTCGCCAAACAGTCACCAGAAAATCTTTCACGCTATGGAGGGAATCCCCTGTCGTCGATTTGACGTCCTTCAAAAATAAAAGTGTAATAACAAAAGCCAAACTCAACAATCCTAAGAAACACCCTAGAATGATATAAATCACGTACTGTTCCGGTTGGGTGATGTAAGTCCCGGATGTATCCTCCCAGGGACAGAAATTACTTCCACAAAGCGCGCTCAAGTTCCCGCCTTGCGCATGAGAGGTGCTCTCATTACCAGTTGTGTCGTCTACTGGGCTGTTCAACACAAGAGCGGAGACAAGATTGCCCCAGATGCCACTAAATTGAAAGATTGTGAAGAATATTCCCTGAAACATGCCCATGACTTCACCTTGAGGACGGCCGGTGATTTCAGAGTACTGAAGACCCAGCGCGGTAACAAAGACAGCGTTGGTTATCCAAGCCTGAGCGTGTCCTGGAACAAATTGATTAATACCAGTATTTAAGGCAACACATACAACGAAGGTTGGGAGTGAGAGGAGAAAGAGAGAGAAGGAGGAGGAACAAGACAGACGTCAGGTTTCTGGAAGAGAAATGCAAAATCAATAAAATAATGGAAAAAAATTAAAAGTATACAATATTCTTAGTTTGATAATAGGTCAATAGTCCACAGTAGTAGGTCAATAGTCAGATTACCCAATACATACCTATTCCCACCAAAAACGCAACCGGCAGAATGATATACGGCACCATATAGAAATGTGCCGCAATGAATACTGCTTGGCAAACCCAGCCTAGAAGAACAGATCCCTTTGCCCCAAGATGTTTGGCAATCACAGGTGCAGTCACTAAAGAACAAATGGACCCTCCATAATTGCACATTAAAGCAAAAACGCCTATCTCCGGATACAGTATTCTCTCTAGATTCAATAACGTGAAGAACGGGGAGTACCCCAACATATACACGGATGCAAGAACAATCAGCTGTGAGAGAGGCTCCCATTTGGACAGCTGAACGCGCCGGTCACTTTTACTCAAAAGAGGAGTTCTTTCTGTATCATCCCCTTGGTATGCGTCGTTGTTTCTTTTAATGACATTATTGTCCCGGTCTACTGTGGCTTGTTTTTCTTTCATGTTGATCTCGTTATATCCCGAGTGCTGAGTTGGTTTTTCTTATCTATCAGTTGACGGTCGTGCAGTTGCGTCTCGTGCACTGGTCGCCGTTTAACACATGTTGAATTGTTAATACATACTTAAATATCTGGATGCAGAAATGTACTGCATTTCAGTTTTAGAAAAAAAAGCAGCTGATTTCGTCATACTTTCTAGCTATTTAGACCAATTTGCAGTAAGAACCTATCTTATATATCAGTCGTCGTTTACCAAACTGCGTGCTATTCAAATATACTTAATGATTGTGGCAAAGCTGCGCTTGGCCAAGGGTTACTTAAGGGTTGATCAAGACTAAAATAAGATAGCTAGAGTCTCACTGCTTCAAAATTGTGTAATCAAGCAGGCTAGTGAACCCCTCTGATCAGCACTTTATCTTCATGTGTCTGGAGGTCTCCACTATTGACTGATCTCACTGGAGTGGTTTACACATTAACGACTGGGGTAATGTATTTCTGTGATAGCATCAGTCATGGCTGTTCCGTCTTTAAAAATCCTTATTTTTGCAATGAGACAGGATATCTTTTTGGGACCTTAATTTCTCAAGTAATATGTGTGAATATTTCAATTGCACAACAACAATCAGATGTTTAAGCTAAAAAACTAATTTTAGTAAAATATAGATAAGACACTAGTTAAGAAATTATATTAGGAATCGTTATTATTTCCTTTATACACTTCATAAATGTTCGCTACAATCTTTGAAATCTTCGGCATTTTTGAGAAGACAAAAGCATAAGTAAATTAAGAAGCAGATGAATAAAATGTGTACAAGGTTTCAAACGGACCACCACTTCCCATATTTTGATAGTCTCGACACAATCTCTTAAATTTTTTTATTTAATAGATGTTTTATTTATGTACCTTTACTGACCTCACGAGAGCCATGGAGAAGATAAATTTTGAATTCAAATTTATCATGTTTTACCCTTAATAGATAAATTTTCATAAATAAACATTTGATATAAATAGGCTTACCAGAACAATTGTGAATGCATGCTCCATCATAATATATAATGTTCTGTTTAACACAGATGGTGCATTTCTCACTATTGAGATACGTTTCAGGATACGAATCACCATTTAAAGAAACAAGAGACATATTCGGCAAGCGTGGACCCACAGCAACACAAATAGACCACTGCTACTAGTTTCTTATACGACTAAGATAAAGTCGACATGCCAAGTTAAAGACCAGTGTAATTCCTCGTTCAACCAAAAAAGTTTTAAATCTGTTTCTTAATTCTTTAAATTTCTTGCCGGGAATTGGCACTATTTAATATTCCCTTGATCCAGTTCGTCAATTCCGTTAAATGATGTACTAGTTGTACTGCGCGAGCATTGCATACTTATTCAAATTAGAATGCTAAGGGATGTACACAGCACAGAAAGAAAACAGAAAATATCTACTCGAATATCAGTTTTCGGGAAATATAAAACGATGTCCTTGGCATTCAGCGAAGTTTTACTATTGAAATTATATGATGGCATTTGGTCGGCTTTTTGGCAAAAAGACTTTAAATGCATCTTTAAATGGCGTTTCTTGCAAAGGGAATACTAGTACGAACTTGGGGAAACAGATTTTTAAAAAAACGACAATTTACCTGTTACTACTACTTTCGTCTTTGAGAATTTGATATGAAAAATATCACAGTTTACAATTTGATTTTTGTGTTTTGACTTTCCTGCCAATTTCTGGTCATCCCGAGAAAGGTGAGAGACAGAAGAAGGGACAGGCCTACAAACACCAGCATTACGTATACTTTTGTAGAGGTACATGCAAAGTTTGAATAAGCATACACCAGCGCATAGGCTACATACATGGCGCTGCGCACTGTGACAAAGACAGGCCACTTCTGATCCGGAAACACGTGGCCCACGTAAGCTGAAAAATAAAAAGAAAAATAAACAGCAATTACATTTGCTTTCACTCATGCGTCTCAATAAAAGTGAAAGATGCTGAAATGCAAAGTAGTCTTATCCTTAATCTAACAGCAGTTACTTGATAAATATTAGGCAAATTATCATTAATCCCGCACAATCATATTAAATGAAAATGAAAAATCGACTGCATTAATAATAATATGAAATTAAGGCTTGAAAATGCGGTATCTGGTGTCAGGAAAAGAAGATTTAAAAAATGGCCAAAATGTGAAAAGTTCCTCACCAGAAGCCGTCACTAGCCACTGCACGTCACCCAGTGCAGACACAAACGGTATCAGAAAATAGAACCCCAGTGAATCAAAACCAGACGGTTCATAAAACAGCATACTCAGCATACATGCAACGTTACAGCAGGCGCCAAATACAAACAAGGTTACCCAGCCCACGTGCTTCACGAGACGAGAGGTCAAGGCTGAACCCAAGATTAGACCTCCGTAGAAGAACATGGCCGACCAACCGTTGTATTGTATACCAATTTCGCAGCTTACAAAAGCCTGCAAATTTAAAAGAAATGCTTCAAAATCCAGAACAAAGCACACATTATTCAATACAAATGAACTGAACGACATTTCTTCAAAAATCAGTAAAAATCAAGAACTTATAAATGGATTGAACAGTATTTATACTCCTCATCGACTTTATAAAAACAAGAATATATGTGATAGTACTGCATTTCTTTTTATCTTCTAGTATTGTTGTTAAGACAAAAGCAAATGTATGTTAATAATGGAGTAGTAATTATTTGGCTATCATTAATAATTTGCTCATAATGTCATCTGCTTTTCGGAATCAGATAAAAAAACACGTCAACAGCATAAACATATACAAAAACTATCCAACTGTATAAAAGATACCTACTGTGATAAACTCTGTAAGAATAAAAGTCTGTCCAGCTGGCACCAGCATAAATGCTGGCAGCATGAGCGCCATTTTCTGCTTAAAAATAAGTCGTCCAATAGTCCCAAGAAAATCTCTTAAGCTGTGAAGAGAATCCCCTGCCGTTGATTTCACGTCCTTCAAAAATATAAGTGCTATCACAAAGGCCGATCCCACCAATCCTAGGAAACAGCCAAGGATGATATAAACCACGTGCTGATCCGGTTGTGTGATGTAAGTCCCGGATGTATCCTCCCAAGGACAAAAATTACTTCCACAAAGCGCGCTCAAGTTCCCGCCTTGAGCATGAGAGGTGCTCCCATTACCAGATGTGTCGTCTGCTGGGCTATTTAACACGAGAGCAGAGACCAGGTTGCCCCACATGCCACTAAATTGAAAGATTGTAAAAAATATTCCCTGGAACATGCCCATGACTTCACCTTGAGGGCGGCCGGTGATTTCAGAGTACTGAAGTCCCAGCGCGGTAACAAAGACAGCGTTGGTTATCCAATTCTGAGCGTGTCCTGAAACAAACTGATTAGTGTAGATACAGAAGTTAGAGAACACACACACACACACGCACACACACGCACACACACGCACAGAGAGGGAGAGAGAGAGATTAAAAGAATTAACCAACATCTACGTATGTATTTTTATAAGCATTCAACGCAGAAAGACAGAAAGAAAGACCAGGAGAAAGGGAAGGCGATATCACACGATTATCACACGATGTGCATGCTACGATTTTGAAACCTTTTATGTTTTAGGAGTCAACATAATTTTACCCAGTGCTTACCTATTCCAACCAGGAAAGCAACCGGCAGAATGACATAAGGCACCATGTAGAAATGTGCCCCAATAAACAGTGCTTGGCAAAACCATCCTAGAAGGACAGATCCCTTTGCCCCAAGATGTTTGGCAATCACTGATGCAGTCACTATGGAACATACGGATCCTCCAAAATTGCACATTAAAGCATAGATGCCCATTTCTGGATTCAATACTCTTTCTAAATTTAATAACGTTGCCAGCGGGGAGTACCCCAACATATACACGACTGCAAGAACAAACAGCTGTGAGAGAGGTTGCCATTTGGACAGCTGAACGCGCTCGTCACTTGTATTCGTAAAAGGTGTGCTTTCTGTAGCGTCTCCTTGGCTTACTTCGTTGATTCTTGTAATGCAATTATTGCCCTGCTGTTCTACGGCTTGTTTTTCTTCCATTATGATTCCCTAATATTCAGAATGCTGAGTTGGCGTGTTGGTGTTATCTATTGGATGGCGGTGACCTGAACTAATGTCAAAGATTGACCTGAACCCATGTATATATGTTTATATCTCTTAAAGCACGATACGCAAGAACGATAACCCATAACTCTTTACACAGTGATCAGTTGATTCGGTCACATCTTCTGGACCTCAGGCCAACCTCAGGTCAAATGGTATTTGTATACTGAGTGTGAAATTAGGTAAAATTCGGAAAACATCGGTAAACTTCGGTAAAATTCGGTAACTAAAACTGCGTGACAGGTTTTTTAGACAGCTGCGGCTTTCACATGTACAGGTACCCTATGTTTAGGTCGTGGAAGAAAAGCTTGAAACTCAATATACATGTACAGTATATGCCATATGCATGTACTTACAACCGTATCTCTCAATTTTAGTTACACACACACACACACACACACACACACAAATATACACTCACATATTTAAATATTGGACGGCATATTATCGTTTATGACCACAAATGCATGTAGGCAGCCTTTTTTTATATATATAACGTAGGGTCTGATATGTGGTCTCTTGAATTTGAGGCATTTGACACCACTCGCGTAGCACACATGAGTTTTTTCTTTTAAAAAAGATTAGAATATAAAGAAGTACATAAATAAAATGAGGTTTCAAAGAAGGCATACAGTTCACATAGGTTTACGAAAAACAGTTGTGAAAGCATTGTCCTCTTATGATATTTTGGAGATTTTCAGATTATAGACACTAATTAAAATAGCTTTCCGGATAAATATAACCATTTTAAAGCCCTTATTTGCAGAGTCCATAAGAACCTTTGCACATAATTTGGAAAACCACACTTATCTTCTCATTAGTATTTCTTTTATTAATAATTAGTCTTTAGATTAAAATTACAGTTTACAATTTAATTTTTTGTGTGTTTTGACATTTATGCCAATTTTTAGTTATCCCAAGAAAGATAATAGACAGCAGAAGGGCCATGCCTACAACTCCCAGCATTACGTATACTTTTGTATCCATACATGCAAAGTTTGAGTAAGCATACACCAGCGAGAACGTTACATAGATGGAGCTCCGCACTGTGACAAAGACAGGCCACTTCTTGTCCGGAAACACGTGTCCCACGTAAGCTGAAAAATGAAAAGAATAATAAATACTAATAATAATAATGTTCACGGAGTAAGAACATGTTAATAAATATTAAAACAGATACCACAAAGATAAAGGAATGAATAAGAGAATATACCAGAATTTTGAGCCGTTTTTTTTTTAAATTTCCCTTCTAATTTAATTTGCATTTAAATTGAATTTTTATTACTCAATATATGTCACTATGTTAATCGACACGGTTATATTAAACGCAAATACGAATAAATAATAATAAAGAAAATAATAAACAATTAAGACAATAATATTAATAATAATAAATAAAAATTGATATCTAGTTTCGATGATAGGAAGAAAAAACAATGGACCAAAAGTGTAATAACTTCTCACCAGATGCTGTAGCAAGCCACTGTGCGTCTCCCAGTGCAGACACAAACGGTATCAGGAAATAGAATCCCAGTGAATCAAAACCAGACGGTTCATAAAACAGCATACTCAGCAGACACGAGACGTTACAGCAGGCGGCGAATACAAACAAGGCGATCCAGCCCACATGTTTCACGAGACGAAAGGTCAAGGTCGAACCCAATATTAGACCTCCACTATAGAACATGGCCGACCAGCCGTTGTATTGAATACCTATTTCGCAGCTTACAAAAGCCTGCAAATTTAAAAGAAATGCTTCAAAATCCAGAACAAACAAAACATTATTCAATACAAATGAACTGAAGGACATTTCTTCTTCTGATTGCCTATATAAAAGAGAGAAGGGAAAGCTTTGTAAATCCTTCACCCATGTTTGTTGTAAAAATGACAATGAAAGCAAAAAATTAAGTTATGGGGAAATATCTGATTTAATTGCTGTCGTAAATACATAGGTTTAAAAAAATGTAATCTGCTCTTTAGAATCCAGTACAACCAATGTCAAAATATACCTACTGTTATGAACTCTGTGAGAATTAGAGTCTGCCCAATTGCCACTAACATGAAAGCAGGCAGAATAAGACCCATCTTCTGTTTAAATATCAGTCGCCAAACAGTCGCCAAAAAAGCTCCTAAGCTGTGAAGGGAATCCCCTGTCGTTGATTTCACGTCTTTCAAAAATAATAGTGCTATCACAAAGGCCGATCCCACCAATCCTAGGAAACACCCAAGGATGATATAAATCACGTACTGATCGGGTTGTGTGATGTACGTCTCGGATGTATCTTCCCAAGGACAGAAATTACTTCCGCAAAGCGCGCTCAAGTTCCCGCCTTGCGCGTGAGAGCTGCTTCCATTACCAGTTGTGTCGTCTACTGGGCTGTTCAACACGAGAGCGGAGACCAGGTTGCCCCACATGCCACTAAATTGAAAGATTGTAAAGAATATCCCCTGGAACATGCCCATGACTTCACCTTGAGGGCGGCCGGTGATTTCAGAGTACTGAAGACCCAGTGCGGTAACAAAGACAGCGTTGGTTATCCAATTCTGAGCGTGTCCTGGAACATACATTTGTACTATTAGAGAAGATAGAGATAGAGACAGAGGAAGAGAGAGAGACACACACAGGGAGAGTATAGACAAGTGCATGTTAAATCTGTAAACATATCTATGCATTTTGATAGGTGATTATCCACACAGACAGACAGACAGATAGAGAAAAGGCAGTATGGATAAAAGAAAACTCAAGAGTGAAGAAATTTGCACTCATTGCGCTGCTTATTATCTAAAGGTCTTCGCGTCACACAAATGTCAACATAAGTTTATCATGTACTTACCTATTCCAACCAGGAAAGCAACCGGCAGAATGACATAAGGCACCATGTAGAAATGTGCCGCAATGAATACTGCTTGGCAAACCCAGCCTAGAAGAACGGATCCCTTTGCTCCCAGACGTTTGGCAATCACTGGTGCGGTTACTATAGAACATACGGATCCTCCAAAGTTACACACTAAAGCATAGATGCCTATGTCTGGATACAAAACTCTTTCTAAATTTAATAAAGTTGACAACGGGGAGTACCCTAACATGTACACGGCTGCAAGAACAACCAGCTGTGACAGAGGTTTCCATTTGGACAGATGAACGCGCTGATCACTTTTACCCAAAAGAGGTGTGCTTTCTCCATCGTCTTCTTGGTATACGTCGTTGCTTCTTGTAACTGACTTATTCTCCCTATCCATTCCGGTATGTTTTACTTCCATTGCGACTCCTCAGTCTAGTGTTATATATCTATCGGATGTGGGTGTCATAGAGTACTTTTAAGGATCGAAAGGAACCCGTGTGTACAAGTAAATATCTCCACGGTTAGGCAAGAACAATAACCTATTGCTCTTTAGGCAATTTAACCATCGATCAGATCAGCTTCATTTGACTTCATTCGACCTGTAAAATACACCCCATACGTGCAGGCCGAGTTAATTGTCAGCTGTGTTTAAAAGAGAGCTGCTTAAACAAAAAAACGAGCGCGTTGACTGATGGCCTTGCTTCGCACTGTCAGTGACACGTGCTGTTTGTCTGTCTCACGACACAAGGTCAACCTTTCTGCAATCAACCCTGGACAGACGTCTCTTCATCTGCAAGAGACGATCATGGAAATGCACCAAGTGTGCTAATCAAACCCGGTTGGTTTAGATATTAACTAGTGGGTAAACATTTGCCTGAGATAGCACCAAGAGCGGCTGCTCCTGCCTATGTCTCTACCTCTGATCTGTTAACCACAATCTGTGTCAGATTTAGAAATGTTTTGACACAATGTCCTATTTTGGGAGCTTTTACTCTGGTATTTTTTATATGCTCGTATTAGCTAAATGTTCTAGCATATTGAAATGCTTTTGTCATTTTTACATTCAATTCACATACATTGTGCACTCTAAAAGTGTACACAGAAATCGTACCGCATGTTCCACATGCATCATCCATTATGTTGTGTACTTTGGTGCACTATTGATCAACATTTGCGTAATATATAGTTTATAATCATGTTGATTGGGAGATTCAAGAAACTTAACGACAAAAATAAACATAACAAACGGTTATTCCAAAATGATTCATGTACGAGAATTACTATAGTTACTATACAGTTTTGATGAGCAACAGCATTTTATTGAACATTTTACTTTCACAAAAATATTTTCAGTTCGATTTGAAAAAAAAAATCTTAAATATCTGCCACTGACAAACAATAACATAGAACTTCAAAGAGAGGGTCGTCGCATAGAGGGTAGTCATTTTGTTGCCACTGTATCGACAAATCTGCGCAAGACGACCGTTTTGCCTATGCGCAGAAAAACACCACACGCATTCCTTTCTCAAGTCCCTCCAGCTCTTCAAGCTTTTATTGTTTTCCAATGCGCAAATAAGTAGGTCCATTTTTCAAACGTTCTTTAGAGTCCTTCCGTTTTCTCAGACCCTCAAACGTGTAAAACGAGGCTAATGACAGCAGTACCATGCTGATGGTAATGTAAACCTTGGCGTCCATGCATACAAATGACGTATAGCCAAATAGGATGACGTACATGACGTTTATGAAGTTTCGCATTGTGACGTATACCGGCCATTTTTGCTGTGGAAAGTAATGGCCGATGTAAGCTGAAAAAAAAAGCAAAATTACAGTATTTTAAAGTTGATAATATCTCATTATTTGTCTAAAGAAAATAATAATGTATGCTGTAGCTTATTATGATGAATTTATCAAAGACTGAATTAACTTTGAATCAGGTTGTTCAGCAAATAACACATTACTTAATCTCACCAGACATCTGACAGAACCAAACGGAATCCGCAAGCCCCCAAGCTACCGGAATTAGGAGGTAAAACTCGATCGTCTGCTCCGATGGTGCAAAAAACACCATGGCGGCAAGACAGGCCAAGTTACACGCTGTGGCGATGGCAAACAATACAGGCCAACCGACATACCTGGAAAGTTGAAATGGTATAAATTGCCCTACACATATGTAAGCATCATGAAACGAGAGGTATTACTTTACAAGACCTCGAAAAGAGATTTTGCGAGATCTTTCTTTTCAATCTTTTACACGTGATGTGAGCACAATATGTATTTTTCAACTCTAAAATAGTGCGATCTGAGTCATGTAGAAGTAATATAAATACATTAGGTTAAATGATCATTAAATCGAGGGTGCAAACGAAACGTTACAAACGAGAAAGTTAGTAATAATTACCGTAGCGTTCGTCCGGTAATTGCGGACCCTATTATAGTACCCCCCGCGAAGCATATCATACTCCAACCGTTGTATTCTATTCCGATTTCACAGCTGACGAATGCCTGAAAGAAGATAACGAAAAGATTATGTCATTGATATTCACGGAATTTGGTTGATTGAAACTACGCTTTAGATTAACCAGGTAAAGGGGAAATCGTGCGTTTTTAGGCCTGATAAAAAAGAGCGCAGAAAATCAGATAAAAGGCGAATGATGCAAAAATGGAAACTAACCGTCATGTATCATATTGACATTAGTATTATTATAATTATTACAGTATCTAAGATCAAGTTGCGACAAAAAACAGTTTGTAAGTCGCTCTAGGGCGTTTGACCTAAATAAAGGGTATTTCGGGTGGGCGTTGGCCTACTGTGGTAAATTCCGTCATCATGAACTGAATCTCGAACCCAATCCACATGAATGGTAATAATAAAAATGCCAGGTTTTTCTCGTAGCACATTTTCAAGATGGTGCCGCAGAAATCCACTGCGCTGTGCAGAGAGTCCCCGGTCTCTGGGTGGACATTTTTGAGGAAAAATAGAGCTATGAAGAACGCCAACAGGTCCAGACCTACAAGCCAAAATAATAAACAAAAATGTTTATTGGATTTCAAATCAATTGTAAAAGAAATACGTTGGTAAAAATATCTGAAGACCCACCTGTAGCTAAGTTTATGTTAATATTGAGGAAAGGTTTAAGAAGAACCAAATCGCATAGAAACGCCTTCTCTTTTTTTTTAGTCTGTTTTGTTTTGAAATAGTACGCGCTTCTGACAAAAGTGAATTCTCATTTATATTCTAGTAACTTAATAAAAAGACTGTACAAAGTTTCTTCAGTGCAGCAAAAGAAAAAAAAACCTCGTAAATATAGTTATTTCTTTCAATG